CGTACAATTGGTTCGCCTTGCCCTCTGGCCCATCTTGTAATAGTACATGCTCTCTGAGGCTGGAGTGAGTCCAATAAGTAATATTAAGAGATCAACATCCGGGCCGACGACTATAACTCGTGATTTCGCGTGACGAAACAGTTCGTTAAGAGTCTTCAGAGCTGCTCTCACAATCTCAACATCCGCATCCTTTTTCGCATGGATCACTGTAAAACTGAATTCCTCATATGTTGCAAGAGTTTGACCAAGATGAGATTGAGCCTTGTTTTTCACGTTGGACAAAAATTTCCTTTGGTTCAATGGGAGGAGATTGTCTGGTTCAATTCCAACGTCCACGCTACAATGTCTTTCTTGTCTACAGTCTCGCTCGTATGATTTGACACCTATATGTTCATCTTCATATCCGTCGAAAACAATAATGACGCTCCGACCAACCGGCTTATCAAGAAAGTTCTTGTACATATCAAAGATTGCACGGTATATCTTACTATGAGGCCAAACGAGGCTTTGCAGCAACCATCCTCCGCCTACATCAAACTGAGAATCTTCAAATAATGCTCGCGAGGATAGGGTAGTAGTGAACATTTATATAACACTTGTTTGTCTTTCGCATTGATCCTTTCCCGTCGAACAAACTAAGAGCCTTCGCACACTACGTCGTATCGTAATCGTACCGTAATACGCGCGTAGGACGAGAGCAAAACGAGCTCGTATGTGTGCTAACCAGTCCGCACACGAAGCGGTGTTGGAGCGAAGCGTATGAGATGTTCAGTCGTATTACGATAGTCGTGGCTGTCTTATTATCATCTTCTGAAAGCTGAAGTGCAGCAACAAGCAATCTTTTCTTCTTATTACTTGCGATGTATGGATGGGTCCAATGAGCACGTTGCCTTCTACTTCTACCATAATCAAACAATAAAAAAATCCTCTTGGTCTGAAGAAAATGTAAGATCATCAATGGATACACCAGAAACATATGGTACCGTTGACGCCATGATTTCAACTGAGATCCTACAAAGCGATACGAGTACGTGACGATGCGTGTGTGGGACACTGGAGGTCTCGTAAGCGTTGCATCGTAACGATATGCTTACGAAACGATTACGCTTACGATGCGTGTGCGAAGGCCCTAAGTGGAACAGGAGACATTTCGTAGTCGAAGGAAGATTACTCAACTCTTTTCTTCCACGTTTAGCCACAGACAGACGTTGAAATAATAGAGACACTGGCGCTCCCACGGGGGGGGGGGTAAAGGAGGTAATTACCCCCCCTCCCGCTAGATGACTCGAGCAGTCTTTGAAAAGGTGGTATAAAGTAAACGTCTTATAAAAAAATCTGCAACTTTAAGAAAGGATAGCGGCAACACTGCCAACCCGCTCAGTGCGCATGCGACTAGCGGCTACTCTCCCACCAACAGCAATGGTGTGCGGTTCTTCCTGTTCTAACAGGTATAGTCTAGTCTTTTATGATCTAGTCTAGTGTCTAAATTCCGTACCAGTCCGGAGTCCGCAACAAAATTTGGCTGAGAATTGAACAAGCGGAGTTTTGTTGATCTTGTTCGTATTCACGCTATTTTCTATGTTCTATTGATTTTTTATTTTCCACGCATAAGCCAGAAAACTATTTTTTGGTTGTTTTTAATTTTTATACTATAAATAAAAGAATCGTGTCTAAAAAATGAGAGACGGAAAAATGGAAATTTAATATAATTTCAATTACGAGATGTTTGGTTCATACTCCAGCTATCATTATCATGTATGTCTATTTTGTCTCGGAAGTCCCTGTATATAAGCACTTCAGTGCATTTCGTTCGTCCGAGATGACAAATTACATATTTAGTTTTTTGAAATTGCGTGAACTTAAGAAATCTTGTTTTCCAAACAGAAAAGGTTCTTTGTTATAAGATACGTGAATGCGTGGAAACCAATAATGCCGTTTATTTGACAATATTTGTGTAACTTTTAGTGCTGATGACAGGATGAATAAAAGGAAACAGAATACCATCGGTTGATTCCTTTCTAAACAAAACAAACTGTCTGATCCACCGGCACAAGAATTACCGGAAAAAACTGATCATAATCCTACAATTCTACCTGAGCCTCTTCCACTTCAAAATTTCTTGATGTTGTACCGTATACTAACCCAGTGTTGAACAATTGGGTGTGAAACCTAAAGGATCCAATTTTGTTGAAGTTGCGCCATATGTAAATTTCAGCGGCAACTTGTCTTCCCATGAAAAATATACCTTATTGAGGTGTGCAATTATCCCTAATAACTCTTTAAAATATCTCTATTCTACACACTTGAAAAATGATAAAGAAGTGAAATGTTACCTACATAAATCAACCAAATTGGGAAAACTTGTTACAGTACCACTAAAGAGATTTTCGAAATTGTATGGCAAAACCGGTGATTGTGAGACACATGAGAACTCAATATATCATACAGAAGCAGTTTCAGATGCTACAAACTTTTTAAAGATTTACGAAAATCCAGATAATGACATAAGAAATATAATAGGTTTAGAGCTAATTAAGCAAGTATTAGAAAATCGGTAAAGATTGACTCCTATAATAGAATCTATAATTTTTTTAGGACGCCAAGACATACTATTTAGAGGGCATAGAGATAGAAGACGACTTTTTTCTAATGACATCACGAATGACGAGAATGACCTTAATAATGAAGGGGATTTTAGAGAACTAATACGGTTTAGAGTCGAGAGCGGCGACAATTTATTGAAAAAAAAACTTAGAGAACTCAAAAGCGCATGCTACGTACATAAGCAGCCGCATTAAAAATGAAATTATAGAATGTTGTGGCGAAGAAATCTTGGATATAGTTTTAAGTCGCGTCAGGCAAAGTCAGCATTACAGTATTATATTTGACGAAACTACAGACATTAGTCATAAATCACAAATGTCAATCGTATTGCGGTATTGTTATCAAACACATATTTACGAGGACTTCATGGGATTTGTGGATTGCTACTCAAATTTTGATGAAAATAGAATGGAGTCCAAACTCACAGGTCAAATTCTTGCTCAATCAGTCAAGCATTTCATTAAAACCAATAAATTAGACTCAAAACTATGTGTGGGCATTGGTACTGATACGTGTAACCTAATGTTAGGTGAACAAAAGGGCGCAGTAATAGAATTGCCAAATGCCCTAAAAAGCCCATGCGCAAATCATGCCTTGAATCTTTCGACTTGTATCTGCCCCTCTGTGAAAGTTGATGGGTCTGCTGACACATTAAAAACATGATGACTTTTGAAGCATACACGTACCTATATCTTTTCCCCCCATTATACTGCACTCAACTTCCTCACCGCAACGTTTTTAATGTGATCTACTATCTATAGAGTCATCATTCACTAACTTCGACAAATAATGAATAACATTTTTGTCCTATTCAAGAACTTGCCACACAGGTTCTTACAATGAATCGATTCTAGACCAGTTTAGATCTTCGATATTTTTTTTAAACCATGCGCATTGAAATGAGACATGCATGTCCGGTGATATCTGCCTTGTACCCGAATTAAGCAAATGTTTTGTAATCTTTCAACAACGCTAATTCCCAAAGAGTCATTTCTTCACAAATGAAGCAATTATCTGCGTAATTGAAATCAGGAACCTCATCGCTTGCAGCTACAATATTGTTATCTTATGCATTCAACGCAAAATTCTGAGTATACTTTCCACTGACCGAGTATGAAAGTCTACACTTCTCATGGCGATCCAGTTTTTCCTTTTTCTCCCAATCCAACCATTTTTTGTCTTCCACGCGTTTGCTCTGTGTGATTCCCTTCTTCCCCACGGTCCTGCAATTGCCGCGCGCTAACGGATAACTGCCAATGGCGCAGTAACTATTTTGCTGCATTTTATTCCTGTTGAATAACAGAAACAATTTCGGTGAGAATCGGTTTCCAGTAAGTGTAATGCAATTTTCGATCCAGTCAGTCTAATATGTCTGATTTTTGTTATTAATACCAGAACATAGTGCTAATGGAATTCGAAAACATGCTGAATTTTGGACAACATATACTGAATTTGGACTGTACTATTTATTACTAAAAAATACAATACTAACATTGGAAAATGAAAACCAATTCCGTTAAAAAATCCATCGTGGATAACTTAAATCACTTATCCAGTCAATCGACAAGCAATTGAAGAGAAATTACTCCACATACTAAACGCATAAACTTCGAAAATTGTTTTTTTCGGAAAAGTCGGTGAACGCCAAACTGTCAAGCGAGCTCAGGGTTCGAAATTCAACTTGACTATTAGTCAATAACCCCCACTATATACTAAGAGATCGTCGGCGTCGTCAACGCGTGGGCGGTGCGGCGGCAGGTTGGTGGTATGCAGGTACGCCGCCCCTGTCCCCTCAAACCCCTCGCCCACAAGCCATCAGCAAGCTGTAGCGCGAAAACTATGAAATTTAGCAAAAAAATTGCAGAGACCTTTTTTGATGGCCTAAAAATTGGAAAAATTTAAGTGTAAAAAAATCCCAGATATCGACAGCCGTTTCAGCGAAAAAGAGGTTTTTGGGTTTTTCGCTGTTTTACAAAAAACGGCTGGTTTCCGGAAAACCAAATTGATACAACAATATTCGCAATCCTTTATAACACCATTACGCCAACGGACATAACTTTGTGGCTATGTTATCACTTTTGTCTCAGTTTCGGCTATTTAACTGGCCTATTACTGCGGCTGAAATATTCATTTTTAGAGCGTTAGTGAATTAAAAAAAAGCAGTATAAAAACCGGAATATCCAACTGATAAGGCTGAAAATTTTTCACTTGTTATTTACAGTAAGATAAATACATTCACCAACTTTATTAAAATAAAACCATTTAAACTGGGTGTTCGGATTTATATGTCACTTAGTATATTTGCAGATGACCTAAAATGTGACACAGATAATAACCTCATAGGTCATTCGGAGGTTAAGTTTGTGAATCGACAAGCACAACTATGTAGAGCTCGGAATTATACATCAAAGTGCATAATATTTATACTGCTATCAAAGATTGTTGGATTTACAAACTTGACCTCTGAGGTAATTATAGGTCTTATTTAAATTAAAGGTGCTACTAGCACTATCCTTATTTAAAAAAAAATGCATGACTGTCAAATTTTGTGTGTTTTGCATACTTTTCGCATGTTAGATTTACATACTGATGTGACCATTTATGGCTGTGTAAGTATGAAAATGCAATCTCATGTAGAATCTCAAGCCCTGTTAGGAATGGTAGTTTCTATTTGAATTCTGAAACTGGAATTCCCAGTCGCCTGTAAGGGTCAATTTTAGGTCGTATTTGAAGGTATTGTCAAATAGTTTTTTGATATGCTGATATTTTTGTTAAAACCCTTCTTACACAAATGCGTGGTAGCCAAGCTTTCGGAAGGTTCATGTACTTGATGTGCCTTCTGTTAGAATCTCGATTAAAACCTCTTTCTTTGCGAAAAAAAAATGCATGGTTGTCCAGAACTCGGGCTGTTCGGATATAATAGTAATAGTCACCCTGTAAAATGAAAGTAGTAGCTATATCTACGCTAACGTGGACTAAAAAATAATGTGGAAACATTCTGTTTAACAGTCTTTGTTAACCAACGCATGCGTTAAATCAAAAAGCGATTTTGCGTTGATTAAAAAGCCTCGCAGTTCTGCATGCAGCCCTCGTTCGGTTTGCGCATTTTTCAAATATTATCGCACAACCAACACAGGTGTGCTAGTTAGTAAATTAATGTATGCAATAAATCAAAGTAGTCGCCGGTACATTGTGTAAGCTTCATTTAACAGCTCTGTTAATGAATCACATAGACATTATACACCGTTTAGGGAGCATATTGCATATGGAATAGGTAAATGACATTTGAGGATTTAAAAAAATTAGAAACATTTCATACTACTGCTGGACGAATCTTCCACAAAGTCATTACAAACACTCATTCATAATTCTATTTCAGAGTACTTTCATGGAATGTGCATCGTTCCATCATCTGAAATAACTTATGATGAAGTAGTAACCTGTTACACACAAGTTCTGATTTCCAATTTGTCTGGAGTTGTTACTAAGATGCAGCTGTACGTACAAACTGATTCTGTGTAGTCGGTGTATCTTTATTAGTCTTTCATTTAAATCAGCTATGATTGTGGGATGGTAATAGCCGTTAAGGATTCTGAAGGCCAGACAAATAATTTTCATCTCCACATCTTATGTGAGATTGCGATTCCTTTATGTTTTATGGTATAGTGGCATTCAGTTTGAGATTGTAAAGTTGTACTTACTATCATGTCTCATTCATTTGAAGCTATCTTAAATTATATCTAAGCCATTTAGGTCCGATTTTACTGATCCAGTGTTTGAAATTCAGTATTTTTTGCCCAAATCGGGATAATTGTCCAAATCAGTGGTTTGTTTTAATTGTCTACAAAAATAACAATACTTTGCCGAATATATATTGAGAGTCTAGTCGGGGCCTACTCTCGCTATACTGCACTGCACTATACGATTTTCTAAAATATTATTCGTTAAATTATTGAAAAACGTTCTTCCAATATATACCATCCATTGCTTTATTTAGTTTTAAATCTAGATACTGATGTTATATTATTTGTAAGATTCAGAGGTAGCATATTCTTTAACTTTGGTGTAAGATAAAGTACCTCTGTCTTATGGATTTATTTCTACGAGGGATCTCTTGTTTGATGAACATGAGAAATACTTGTCAATTTGATTTTGCCTACAAGGATATTCTTCAATAAAGAAAAACAGTAGCTTTGTCAAGAATAGAAGTTTCGGTATATAACAGGTTCGTGGGATATGTTATTTTTTCCTCATATATTATTTTTAAAATCTTTTAAATGTGTGTTAGTTACTCCACCTCATCCGCTGATTCCATAAGACAGCTACAATTGGACCAATGCTGTGTACAGTATCTTGAAATGCAAATCTTTCAGAAGTCTGAACATTGGAATCGGGCCTCTCAATGTTTTGCAAAATATATTTAGTGTGTAAATTCCATCTCAATGGAATGGTTAAAATCTTCACCTAATTTAGAAATGATATATCCTTTCTTTCAATTATCTTAGATATTTTTGTTTGTTTTTATTTTGGTTATAGTATTTACAGGGTAGATATGAAACTTGTTTTCGATCGGTGGAGTTTGTGCTTTATTTATGAAGTATTATTTGATTTAATATAGGAACTAGGGGTCCACCTTACACAGAAAGTATAATTTTTGTCTAGTTTGAGAGACATATTTATTAGATCCATCACTTCAAAAACGTCTTGTGATTGGTTAAATTTGTATCAAAAGCGCAAATTAACACTTTCACAAAAACTAACATTCATACGGCGTAACGCATGCCAATGCTTAGCCCTAGTTAATGTACTAGGAAATATTCCGTGACTAGGAGAAAAGTATCAAGGATAAAGAATTGGATAATTATAACTTTTATTCACGCTTAAAAATCACAGCTATATTAATCTTTGTTACGACATAGTCACTACGCTATATCAGCAACCTTGTTCATAATATATAAAATTTTATAGCCTATCGCAGATGGAATATTTATTATTTAAATGGCTTTATATCACACAGCTAGCATATCCATATTTGTGGATATCAGACACTATTTATCACAGCAATTATCCTTGCATGACAATTATTTAATTGAAATTATGTTTATGGGGATTGCGATACACTTGAATAGATGCGTGGTGTGATAAAAATTACTCATTTACGATCAGTTTCT